TAGCAAACTGTGCTTGTTTTGGGAGGATTAGAGAGAATGTTTGCAGAAAGCAGAGAGACATTCCCTGCAGGAAAAGCTTAGCAGGTTAGGACTGTGGGCGCTGGAGCAGGACTGTGGTGTATTCAGACTCAAGTCACTTACTGGCTCTGTGACCTTGGACAAGGTCCTTAGCCTCCCTAAGCCTCAGGGCCCTCCTCTGTAAACTCAGAATAAACCAGAACACACTTTAGTGCAGTGTCTAGAAAGTAAGTGCTATACAGTGTAGCTGTTATTGTTATTATTCTTACCCTTATGAGTATGGCATTACCCAAGTCATGTCAAAGCAAGTCTAGTTTCTGGAGACGCAATGATGTCATTCTTCAACCCCACTCAGCCCCCATGAGGCTCAGCCAGCTTCTACCAATTGAGTGTACACCTTCTATAAACACTGAGAATAATCACAGTAAAATACTGCCTATGTGTTGAAAAGGCATGATCAATTCATTTTCTTATTTGATCCCTGTAATAACTTGTTGAGGTAAATGAGGAATCCTGTTTCTCTCCATGTTAGAAGTGAGGAAATAAAGACAAAGAGAACTTAAGTGACTTGCCCAGATTAATAAGAAGCATGCAACGAGATTGTTCTTGCTGTATCTCTGCGCTGAACAGAAAGAGTAGCCCCTAGCTGACGGTCCTGACTGCATGATCTCTAGTCAGTGCCATTGGTCATGTTTTGCTGCCATCTCTGGGACCATGGGGTGCGAGGCATTTCTCTCCCACCTTTCAGGATTCTGAGTCCACAGTGTGTTGCCTTAGCTCTGAAACCAGCAGCTGGTGTCAGCTTCTTGTCTGCCCAAGATTGTACCGACAGGTGTTATAAGAAAGTACCGGGCTAGCAAGTCACACTGTTTTTACACATAGAACCCTTTAACTAACATTGTTACGTAGTTTAAATATCATTGACATGCTCACCAGAGGCAGCTCTGAAAGGAAAGTGAAGTCTTAAGAAATCGCGGGCCAGTGGAGTAGATGGGTAGACATGAGGATGGAGGGACTTCTGCTCTGTGAAAGACCAATAGCTCCAATGGCCAGGGCGCCAGGCCTGCACCCTCGAGCGCCGAGGCAATGGATTAGAAAGAGAACTTTGCATGCTTGTAGTGAGCAGCAGCTGCAGTGCAGCCCTTTTCTGCCTTAGTATACAAAGGTTGGGAGTCTCTCCCACACTTCTAGCCCAGGGCAATTGTAATGAGCTGAACACTGAACCAGCCCTGGCTGTACAATCATATGTGAAGTTTTTAGTAATTACAGAGCCAGGGCCCACCCAGACCAATTAAATCAGAATCTTTGAGGCTGAGATCCAGGCATCAGTATTGTTTTATACAGCCATAGTGAGGCATAATTGATATAAGTAAACTGCATATATTTAATGATCAATTTCATGCATGGTGACATAGGCATACATCCCAACCCATCACCATGATCAAGATAATGAGCATATACAATACTACATACCTCCTAAAGTTTCCTCATGCCCTTTGTAATCTTTCTTTAGCTCCTCCTATTATCCCCAGGCAAAGGCTGCTCTTCTTTTTGTCATTATAGATTAATTTAGATTACATTTCTAAAATTATATATAAATGGAATTATACAGTATGTTCTCTTCTTTGCTCTGGCTTCTTTGAAACTCAGCATAATTATTTTGAGACTTATGTATGTGGTTCTATGTGTCAATTCCTTTTTATTGTTAAGTAGCATTTCACTGTATGGATGCACCACAATTTAACTATTTAACTGTTGCTGGACATTTGAGTTGTTTCCAGTTTGGAACTATTACAAATAAAGCTGCTCTGAACACACATGTACTAGTCTTTGTATGGATGTAGCTGTTTGTTCTCTTGGATAATATCTAAGAGTAGAATGTCTGAATCCTATGGTGGGCATAAGTTTAACATTTGAAGAAGCTTCTAAACAGTTTTCCCAAGTAGTTGCACCATTTTACATTCCACCAGCAGGAAATGCGATCTCCAGTTGTTCTACATCCTCACCATTCTTGTCTGCGAGGGAGTCTACTATAGTTCACTGGGATTTTAATTTGCATTTCTGTAATGACTAATGACGTTGGGCATCTTTTTATGTACTCTTTTGCTATCCGTACATCTCTTTGTTAAAGTTTATATTAAACCATTAGTACAGGACATAAGCATCAGTTTAAAATCAATAAATTCCCTGGTGATTCTAACATGCAGCCAGGGGTAAACATCACAGTCTTACCAGAAAATCGAGAGCAAACCTCTTCGTTGCAGACCTCACCACATCATTTCCATAAATTGGACAAGTGCTACCATTGCATGTGGTAGGACTTACTGATACAATTAACTGAAGTGTCTGTTCCAACCTGATCATTCATCATTTCACTTAGTCACACACATTTGTTCTACAGTAAATTTTGAAGGAAGTACATTATTTCAACCAAATTTGTGACAGAATTATGACTATGGTGAAATAGAAGGGAAAATAGTTTCAGGGTTTCCATGTATAGTGCTGTCTCTATAACTCTAAAGGCTCCATTTACATAGAATATAGCATGAAACCTATGCACAACTGATTCAAGCTTGTGCAGGAAAACTGAACGATCTTCATCTCTAAAATCTAGGAACTGGGTCTCACCTTCTAACTGTGTGATCCTGGGAAAGTCAGTTGAATCCCTGAGTCTTGGTTTAAAATATAAAATGGGGATAACTGGTGTTCACAGGATAGATGTGAATGGAATGTGATGTTTCTGGGGACCAGCAAACCCAATGGCTACAGGATTAGGTAAGGAAGTTAAATGAGTACAGTGAGTCAGGACTGAGAGGCAATAGAGAAAGGACAGGGACTGTGACAAACTGGAGTGCTCACCCTGTCTACTCAGCTCTGATTATGGCCGTATAGAATGTCACCCCATAGTTGCCGGAGCTTCTGTTTTTCAAGAGAAGCCAGAAACTAAATCTAACTGTGGTTCAGATGTCGTCCACTGATATATGCAAAAGGACTATATAAATTATAAGACACCTTATAAACTGAAAGGGCAACTGTATGTCTTAAATAAAACTGTGGATCAGTCTATGTGGGACTATGGTAGATGTCTATCTTGCATTCCGTCCTGTCCTTCTTATGAGAACTACCAATACCATCACGTGGGACTATAACCCAATCCGGGTCAATCATCTTCCTGCACCTTACTGCCCACTGTGATTGACCCAAGGATGGCATGTACCCAACTTAGGGCCGAGCAGCATTAATCACCTACAGGACGCTTCCTGTCTGAAAAAAAAAAAAAAAAAAAAAAAAAAAAAAACTTCATGGGAATTTTCCTAGCCAGAACTAACAGAAAAGCTTTCCTGCCTCTCTGGATATGAGGCCATAAGCTGCCTGTGACCATGCTCCACGCTATATAAAGAAAGATCACTTACTCCAGGACAACACAGAGACAGTGAGAGAATTCTGTCATCATTTGAGTCCCTGCTATCATCAGGCTCTTTGTAAATGTTGCATGATCCAGTGAATTTGGGATTAGGCTTGCTTGAGAGGGGCTTCTGCTGCACGCAAGCAAAGGAGTCCTAACTAATGCATTTTGTCCCCTTGAAGTACAATGGCAGAAGTACAATGGTTTTCATTGATTTTCAACATATCCTCAGGATATTTGATTCACGGATAGAGATTACGGTGCTGAGAAGTGAGATCTGAGACAGGAGGTGGAAATGTGGCAGTGGTATTAGGGAAAGCTACTCAGAGCTGTGCAGAATTCCCTGTGCTGATTTGAGTACCACAACCTGAGGTGTTTTCTAGGGTTGAAAGCTCAGATGTGGGCTCTGATGAGCTTTTGGGAATGACGAGGCTGTAAGAAGGGGATTCATACTAGGACACACCGGAGATTGAAGGCAACGCTACAATGACATTTTATTAATTTACATTGAAAAATGGAACTGATATATAGAGTAGAACACTGCCATTAGCATTGTAAGTACTTTATGTTTTTAAGCTACACAGGAAGCTACTTTGTTTCAGTTGCCCTGATGAAGCATTGTCAAGGGGATTTGGAGTCTGTGTGCTCAGTGTACTTGCTCCATAGAGGCAAACCAACATAGGAAGCCAGGTCATGATGGAAGGTTGTTGATTTAAACAGCACTGAAAAAGAGGCATTAATGGCATTGAGTTAAAATAACCCGATACATTCATTTTACAGGGCAAGCGTAATTTTGAAATATTCAAAGTTCAATTTACCAAGCCTTCCTCTCTCCTAGATAGTACTCAAATGGGCATTGTCAAATGGGCATGGTGTTTGTCTTAGTGATTTTCCTTTCTCTGCCCTACTGTGGCTGTTCAACTCCTTTTCTACTGGAAACATTCTTTCCCTACATGTTTTAACGCACTCAACTGAATTAGGAAGTGCAGTGGTTCCCAGTGACTTGCACCACTTAGGAGCACGGATTGTGTACATCTCTTCCCAACTCTGCTTTCAGTGATGTCACATGGCAGCTTGAAATCAGTGATGGTGGGGATATTTACACCACAGAAAATGGCAAACGTGACAAACCAGGGCACTTTTCCCCCCTAGAAAGCTGGTGTTTCAACACTGACCAGCACACCACTGGTTATAAGTACAATCAGCCCAACCAGCCTTGTTATTTCTTGTAGGTGTATATTTCTACTTTGTCCATTATGGACTGATCGTATCTTGGACATTTAGATAGCAAGTTTTGGCCCTATTTCTAAGATCTTAGAGTGCCTCTCATATTGTCTCCAGATCTTAAAATAAAGGGCTCACCTTGGGTAAGGCTCCCGTCCCACAGGAAGCCAATCTAAGACAGGCACCTCCTGACTCTCAGTACAGCGTTCCCACCACACCTGTTACCTACCAAAACAATTGCTGTGTATAGTTGTTCCTAGCTAGTGGGAAGGATTTCATAATATCATTTACTCTAAGTTGTTAGGATTGGGACAATGCACTAACTCTCCTCAGACTATTTGTATTTTCATAGCCTACAGGAATCGTGCCAAGTGGTGAGATTTCTGGCAACACCTCAGGCTGCTGAGAGAGTTAACTGGGAGCCAGGACCATTACCGACATTTCCTAAATGCTCTCAGGTTGATCACATAGGTAAGTTGATAAAACTTGATCAGAATCTCTATGACCCAATAACATGAAAATACTTGTCGTAAAGCAAGGTTTTATTACCTACAATTTGAGAAGACCCTGGAGATCATTCCTTTCGTCTTGATTTGCAAATATATTATACCAACGATGACATCCAGGAAAGGTACAGTAACTCACAGGAAGGAAACTCAGATCTCCCCTGTCCCAGGAGCACCCTCCTCATTTATACCAGCCTCCCAGTCCCTCACTTCTGGGACTTCCACTTCCCTGGAAATTTACTTCTAAATGCAGTGAACCTGGTACACCTGGATTTGCCTAATCAGCAGCTACGCTGGGGAAACATGCCCTTGGTACAACCTCCAGGAACTTAATCTGGGAGCTGCTGTCTGGTGTTCTTGGGGGCGGGTGGCTCAGTGGCAGGCCTGAGCTGGCCTTCGGTTTGCAGGCTGCCAAGGGAGGTCTGGGCGGCTTTTGCCGGTTCCTTAGAGACTTACCTGTGACTTTTCACTCTCTCACACTTGTTTCTTGTTTGGCTGTTACATGACTCATGTGGTGTCTTTTATTTTAATGCCTGTCATTCCAGGGGCTCAGCTGACTCATGCAGGAGGAAAGGAAACGGGCCTGAGCTGTGTGGAGTAGTCTATTGAAGATGGGACTGATTGGATTTTAAGAAAGTAGGACTTAAGGATAGAGAAGAGGCAGAACTCTGAGGACCTGAAGTTCCCAAGGCATAATGGTCAACATGTACAATTTTTGGCTAAGCCACTTATGCTTTCTAGAGTACTAATTTTCATTCACATCTACTCACCTTTCAAAAAATGAGATTATGCACTAATCTTTAAAGAAAGAACTAACCCTAGAGCCTCATAATAATGAATCTTTATGTGTCTATGATACTTTATGATTTACAAAGCATATTATTTCGTTTGATCCTTACAAAAACCCTACAGGGGCTGGGCGAAGTGGCTCACACCTGTAATCCTAGCACTCTGGAAGGCCAAGGCGGGCAAATTGCTCGAGGTTAGGAGTTCGAAACCAGCCTGAGCAAGAGCGAGACCCCGTCTCTACTATAAATAGAAAGAAATTAAATGGTCAACTATTATATAGAAAAAATTAGGCGGGCATGGTGGCGCATGCCTGTAGTCCCAGCTACTCGAGAGGCTGAGGCAGGAGGATTGCTTGAACCCAGGAGTTTGAGGTTGCTGTGAGCTAGGCTGACGCCACGGCACTCACTATAGCCTGGGCAACAAAGTGAGACTCTGTCTCAAAAAAATAAAAATAAAAACCCTACAGGGTCAGTACTTTTATTACTCATATTTTATAGATATATTATATATTTTATATTTTATAGCTCACAAAGGCTTGGAGACTTTCCCAAAAGTGTCATAGAATTAAAACTTGAACCCAGGGCTATATAATCCAAAGTACAAGCTTAGAAACAGACAAAACAAAAAATCCAAACCCTGTACCATAGCTCTTTATGGAAGCACTTTAGTGCATAATTCATTTCAAATTTGATCTCAAGCTCCTTTTTCCTACCCAAAACACCAGAAATTCTGGAAGCTCTTATTAGGCCATAGCTTCTCCTATAACACCGACTCTTCTAGAAGTTTTAGATAGTGATATTTCAAATTGAAATAATATTGATCAATTCAGTATTGAATGGAACTTCTCTTTGCACCTATAAAGTTGGTGCCTATAAAGTTGAAAAGAAATCTGTATTTAACTGAATATTGGTTCATTTTAGTGAGTGTGCCTTTTTCCTAAACAAAAGAGAATCAAACAAAAGAGGAAAGGAGCCCGAGACTCCTTCTGTCAAAGTCTAGATGACTAAGTGTACCTGTCCATACTCTAGACCAGGCATCCTCAAACTACAGCCCATGGGCCGCATGTGGGTGTTTTTGCCCATTTGTTTTTTTACTTCAAAATAAGATATGTGCAGTGTGCATAGGAATTTGTTCATAGTTTTTTTTAAACTATAGTCCAGCCTTCCAACAGTCTGAGGGACAGTGAACTGGCCCCCTGTTTAAAAAGTTTGAGGACCCCTGCTCTAGTCTATGCCATGTTTGAAAAGATCAGATGAATCCTTGGAGGTGAAAGTACTTCTGCAAACTCTAGGGCTGTAGATTGATGGGTATGACATCTTCAGATGAATAGGAAGTCAGTATACTTCAGACAGGCAAGAAGTATCCAAAATATGCTTGTATTTAGGAAGGGCTTACAGACACATATGAGACTCTTAATGAGAACTGGTTGTGACACCTTTAACCATCACCTCGCCCATCCCACCTTACCATCGAATTATTGTATTTATTCTTATTAAGTACTCATTGTGGGTTTTTAAAAATACTTTTAAAATAATATAAGTTTAACTTTGGGCGGTTGCATTGGCCAAAGCCCCCTTGTTACACTTGGAAATTTCTATGTCTTGACAAGGAGGCTTCTGGTTGTTTGTGTGTCCATGAGACTAGACCCTCCTGGCTGGGGCTTCCTGGGCAGCTGTCCATAAGAGAAAGGGGTTTGGGGGTTGGAAAAATGATCTTTCTAAGGTAGGTACTAATAATTAGCCCCATTTTATAGATAAGGAAGCTGAGGTAACTTGCCCAAGACCACACAGTTAGCAAGCAGGGAAGCTGGGATTTGAGCCTACAGCATGTTGACTCTGGAGCCTGGGCTCTAACCACTAGGCCATATCGGCCCCCAGAAGTGATTTTACATCCACCTCCTGAGAACATCTCCCTGTAGATAATACATAACAAGCAGTTATGACCACTTTCTTTGTTGAAATTTAAGCTTAAAAATTGGAATGTAGTTCTCAAAAATCGATCTATGATCTGGGGGGAAATACCTACAGAGAGAGACAATGAGCAGTCTGAGAACCCATTTACGAAAGTTAAGCAGTCCACACTATACTGCTTATAGTGTAACATTTGGAAAACACGTATTGTGTGGTGAGCTTAGGCAAAATGCTGAGCAAGACACAGACACACAACTCAGCCCACACCGGGAAGGCAGCCAAGAATGACTGCCATCTCCAGCCCAGAGGGGGCGCCCTACCCAAGGGTACAGAGAGGGCAGGCCCCCTTCAGAGATTGCTTGCTATCTCCCACATTGTGGGAGCTCCCTGATGAATCAACAAATAAACAAGACTGTTTCTATAACTTTGTGATTCAGACTCAGAGAAGCAATAAGCCTTTGGTGCTTATTTATGAAGGACACATAAAAAACACTTACTGTCCCAAATAGCTTTTCAGAAAATTAACAACAAAAAATAGTTCTGGTCAGGCAATGGTGGCTCACACCTGTAATCCCAGCACTTTGGGAGGTTGAGGCAGGAAGATTTCTTGAGCCCAGGAGTTTGAGGTTGCTGTGAGCTAGACTGATGCCACGGCACTCTAGCCTGGGGCACAGAGCAAGGCCCTGTCTCAAAAAAAAAGAAAGAAAGAAAGAAAAGAAAAGTAGTTCTATAACGCCTGTTTCATTGACCCAAACTTCTGTTTTCTCATGTATGCCTCAAAATTTTTTCAAACATTAACAGTTGTGACACATGTGACTGGAAACTGCTTGAGTTACTGTGGATCAAGAAGGAAATGGGGAAAAAGAGAAATCACAGGTCATCCCCAACCCTCATTTCAACCATTAGGATTCTCCCTTTCAGAGATTTTACAGAACTGCTAATGAGTTGTCAATAATTACTTTATTTAGCATCTGCAAGGTGCACAGCATTGTACATAGCTTGAAAATGTCAAATTGACTTTTGTCACACCCTCTGTAAAGGCTTCCCTAAGTTCCATGGTTTTGTGGCTTTTCCTCCTGTGCTCCGGGAGCATGCTGCTAGTACCTTAGCTACAGCACTTACCATGATGTATTACAAATATTGATCTCTCCACCAGATTTTAAAATCCTTAAAGATGAGATCCATGCACTGTTCGTCTCTGCAACCTTAATGTCCAAATAAATACATGTTTGAGGATGAATAAATGATTGCATGGATGAGGAGTGCTTCACTTTGGTTCCATCTCCCAACTCCCTAGTCTGCATTTCGGTGAAAGGCTGACGCTGAGTGAGAAGCCAACAATCACAAGGCACAATGGAAAAGAGGAATGTCCAAAGGCATAGCTGATCCCAGACTAGAAGTTAGCCCCATAATGATGAAGAGTTGGCTGACCTCCCCGAGGGCCCAAGAACACAACAGAGCCACAGCAAAATATTTAAGCCAGACCTGGGGTTCATCAACCAAACTCCTACACCGAAGCCCAAAGTAGCTTGTTGGGAACAGGCCAGCAGTGGGGGCTTCAGGCCCAGTGCAAATAGTTCCAGTGAACCAGAGTCACAGCCAACACTAGCAGTCCAGAGCAGAGGGTCTCAGCCAACCTAACCTTCAGGGTACTTTTTGCTTTACTGTCCCTTCCTAGATTTCAAGAGGCCACACAAGAATAAACAGACACTAAACAACTGGACATGAAAAAGAAGGCATTTCCAAATGATTCTCAAGAAGCCGTTTGGATGCCGTGCTCCCTGCAGTGCTAAGGGGCTCGAGCTGCCATGGATGCCCGCTTTGGGCGTTTCAGTATGCAAATATGTGCCATAAGGAGACAAGGGTTCCATGGGGTGCAGTAGGCATGACGTTGGTGGTGGATGGCTAATTATTTATCACACACACCAGATTCAATTGATTAGTCAGGGCCTGGAATCTGTCTGATGGATGAGAAAGTCCTGCCACGGTCCAGGGTAGCCGCTAAATGATAGCACACGCTCCCTGTACCTGACATCCCAAGTGTGATGGGTCACATGCAAACGACCTTGGCTCCTGACCTGCCCTCAGCTAGCCGTGAAACTGAGGGCAAGCTCACTGCCCCCTGTGCCTCAGGTTCTTTATAAAATAAGTTTGATCAGACTATCCCAATGGTCACTTCTACGATTCCCTTCCTTTATCCAGCCGGATTCTGGACCCATCAGTACCACGGCAAACTCTCACCCTTCCATTTACCTTCTGAAATGAAGGGACGTCCAACTAAAGATTTCTGTGCTTGCCAAGAGAAGTGTCAGTAAAAATACTGCTTTAAGATTCTGAGAGCAAAAGAGAGCATATCTCACTACAGGGACCAATCTGGAGCTCATACTCTCCAACTTTGCGTCACAAATTGATCAGGATGGCAGCTTGCTGGCTGCTGTTCTACTCTGGGTGCAATTCACCTATTTTTCTGCAAAATGTAACTCCTGCTACATTCACGTTTCTTATCCGCCAGCCCCATATAAATGGTCGACACATCATTCTCTCCTTGTTGCCTTTCTAGACCCCAGATTTCTGCATCTAAGTTTCTGATGAATCATAGGCTGTTCCCCCAACCTCAGTATTTCAAATCTGGCTCTCTCCTACCTTACAGCAACTCCTTAAAACACTCAGAAAAAATCCAGATGACTCCATCTCAGCTGTGGAAAGAAGAGCAAAGTTTGGTCGCTCTTGTTACCATTTTTAGTGCAAGATTTAAAATGACAAGTGCTTGACTAAAAAATTGTGAATGAGCTCTCAAATTTAACTTGCATCGGTGGGGGAGTTATGTCTGATAGACTCAAACACATTATAAAAATAATTTCCTAAGAGATAATAATTCTTAAATATTTATCAATATATTTTTTCAGAGACAGAATAATTTTAATTTTTTTTTTATTTTGTGGCTCCTTTCTATATAGTTATACCAAAACAATCATTTAGGGAAATAAGTCAGAGTGTTTTACTATATTAGACACTTACTTGATGAATTAAAAACATCTAGAATGTTTCTCATCTGCCAGAGATTTAATATATGTCAAGTTAATCCAAGCTTGGCTAAAGATGTTCTTGGATCTATGGCACCTACTAAGAGCAGGACTGTCCCCCTTTTGTTCTCTATACCTGTGAGGACTGTTATCTACCATTCCAGGGGCAGAGAAATCTTTGCCCTTACAAATTTTGTTATGCCACATTTGGCATAAAGTGCTTATCATTACCCAAATACAATTTTATAAAATGCTTTATCTTTAACATTACCTACAAGAAAAATGCAGCAAAATTCAACTTTGGAGAAAAAGAAAACCTTCCATGTCCTTGGGAACCATGGAAAGCTAAGAGACACAGCAAATTCTATATCTCTAAGGAAGTTATTTCAAGAAAGAAGCATCATCTGCTCTTCACCAAGGTCAGTCGAGCTGGGAAGAAAATGAAGCCAACACCAAGAAACTGGCTGTGGATATTTTTATCTGTTTTGCCTGAAGTCTCAAAAAGTAATAGGAGGAACAAGATTCCATTCCCCTTTTCTCAGAAACCCTTTGGTTAAAAGTTGTCTTCTTTCTAATTCTTCCCTCCCCTGTCATTTTTAACCATCACAAATGAATACCAGAGCTTATCAGGTGGTCATCTGTGTTGGAGAGAGTAACTGAAGTTAGTAGTGGCTTGCAAGTGTGCACACAGAACTGGAGGTACACGGCAGGTCAGGACACTTAATCTCACCCTGAGCATTCCTCTTGTGTCAAGTCTAAATTGCACCACCTTCCTTTGCAAACACCCCCACCAAAGGCCAAAATATAATGACAACTGACAATGAACAGAAACCCAACATATAGACAAAACACTCTAGCTTTCAAATTCACTGTGACTGGACACGATTAGCTTTTTGAGTCCTACAACTCCCCAGAACTGTCAAAAGTAACCTTGTAGCCAAACCGCTTGCAGATACTAAAAACCACCTGAAACAGGCCACCCATGGTGCCGAAAACAGTGTCAAAGAGCAGAGACATGGTGCCGCCAAGGCCCACGGCGATGTCCTTGCACACAATTGGAACAGCACTCATGGTGTACACGGGGAAAGTGGCCACATCCACGAGGACTCGGACGGGGATGCCCAGAATGCGGCAAACGGCCTTCAGCAGACAACAAAGGATCCGGAGAACGGCCCTGATGACCTTGGCTATGACCTTGAGCACCTTCCAGGGTATGCTCACCAGCTCTTCCCCAATGGCCATGAAGTATGAGATGGTGGCCGAGCCCAGGCGGTAAAGGCAACTTTCTATGCCATTAATCACCTGCTTGGTAACGAACCACAGGAAATAGACAGTGTACTTCAGGATTGCTACCACAAGGTGATAAATTAACTGGAAAAGCTTGCTGAATGGGGTAGCAATGAAGCCCAGGAGGTTTCCCAAAAAGCTGCTACTTCCCTCAGACGGCTCCGGAGGCAACAGGGCAGACCGCTTGCTCCTGGTGCTGGAGAGGGGAATGGCGCGCTCTTGAGACTGCACCTGTCGCTCCTCATCCTGGACTTGGTTAACCATTTCCAGGATTTTTTTCATTTTCTCTGTGTCCTGCTCAGTTTCGCCACAGTTGTTCTGGAACAGCTGAAGGTTAAACGGAAGCAGTTTCTCCAGATCTTTCACCATCACGTCTTCTATGATGTCACTGCCGCGGGTGTGCTTGACAAAGCCCATGGCCCAGCCTCCCCCGGGGACAGCACAACAGGCCGCCAGCCACACCAACTCAGGGACGGCCACTCTGTCTTTGACTTTGTGGTCTGAGGGCACGGCGCCCGTGATGATATAGAGGTCTTCCCCGTGGCCACACTGCGGGGTCAGGGCCCGGTCCACCAGGCTGTTGAGATTCATGTACCAGCGCTCCTGGAAGGACTGGGTCATCGGGGCTGAATTTGTGAGAGCAAATGTGGCCCTCTGGAAATCACCGCCAAGGGGGAACGGGTACAGCTGTCCTCTTTGGTAATCGGAGTCAAGGTAATCTGTGTTCAAGGCTTGCTTGCTTCCCAGGCTGTTCACAGAGGTGACAGCCTCGGCCTCGTTAGCCGCCTCCTCAAGGGTGCTTTTGGGGTCATCGATCTGAAGGGAGAGAACAAGTGGTGAGAGGCAGCCCTGTTAACAGCAGGGACGGAGCACATGAATCATTCTGCCAAGACCCTAGAAAAGTCCCCATTCCGCTATCATTTCTAAACACTTGGGTTTGGAAGGACTTGGTTCTCTGGTGCACGCCTGCACATTTCATAGGAATACCCAGTGATGCTGGTGTTTGAAAGCATCTTTCAAGTGGGCTGTTTCCTAGTTTACCCCCTGTATACCCCAGCCCTGCTCTGCGGTAGCATCCATCACTCGCCCCTACCCCACCATCGTGGCATTCCTTCTTAATCTGCTGTAGTTTTATGAATTTCACAGCTCTTCTTTGGAATATTTTTCTAGGAGATCCCAAGTAATTGTAACAATGAAAACAAGGGGAGAATAGATCCCAACAGGACCATAAAAATAGGAAATGTAACATAGATGATCAGCCCCCAGTGTTGGCTGCAATTTAATGCACGCATTCTTAATGAACATTTACACATTTGGGGATATGTGAAAAGCAATCAACTCTAATCAGAGCATTTCAATCAAATGGAAGAAAATGTACAGTGTGGTCTCAGTGTTTAGATACTTACCAGGCAAAGCTAAAATTCAAACTAGACTAACTCCTGTTGGAATTTCATTTCCTCCTGACATTTGCCATTATTAAAAATTCATTTTGTGTTTTGATCAATTTAGATATGTGCTATATACCAATTTTAATCAATATATACATCCCTTCTTGGTTCTGCTTTTTTATCCCCCCTAGTTCAACAGGATAATGTATATTTTTACTTTACCATTAAGAATCCGAAAAGACAAAAGGAAAGAGCTCAGGATTATCCAAGGACTATATTTTTATCTCCCAAACTACGCCGTAAATTCCTTGACACCAGGGACCATGTGTATTTCCCATAGGACCCAGCCCAAGGCCTGACACATCTAGAATCTCAAGGCACTCTTGTCAGTCTTTATCCTCGAGATGTTTCTCATGGCAGAATTTATAACAGCAGGAGGTTGAACCAATCCACATTTTCAAAAACCAGAAAATGTTACAGCCATCAAAGAAATACCTCAAAACCATTATAAAGCACTTGTAATTATGAAGGGTTTGTGACAATGGGGAAATATATGCTATAACATTGAAAGAAAAAGGAAGGATATAAAATTAAATGATCACAATTTATTTTTAAGAAAGCCTAAAATATGCAAGAAAAAAACTTTGGAAGGAAACAGGAAATGTCAACAGTGTTTTTTTATTTTTAATTAATGGGTATATAATAGTTGTATATCTTTATAGGGGGCATGTGATGTTTTGATACAGGTATACAATGTGAATTAATCAAATCAGGGTAATTGGGGTAACCAACACCTCAGGCATTTATCCTTTCTTTATGTTAGGAACATTCCAATTCCACTCTTTTAGTTATTTTGAAGTATATACTAACTTATTGTGAATTATAGTCACTTTGTTGTAATATCAAATATCGTTCACTCTATCTAACTACCTAACTATATTTTTATACCCATTAACCATCCCCACTTTATACAGCCTCCCCGCTACCCTTCCCAGCCTCTGGTAACTGTCGTTCTACTCCCTTAACAGTGTTTTTTTTTTTTGATTCCTGGGGATGCAAGTGATATTTTTTTCCTCTATTTTCTTATTTCTCTCTTTATACCTCCCCTACTCATATCAACCCATAAATTATTTATATGTGTTACATTCAAAAGGAAACAAACAAAAACCCCAAACTAATTTAATCAAATAAGTAAATTCTTGCTAACTGATTTCCTAGAATTGGTGCTACTCAGCAAACCCATCAAACAAACCCTGAGAGGCATCAGGGCCATGGGGAGTGTGTTGACCCTCTTGTCTGAAGGTAACCCCATTGTGCATGTCTACAGCTCTGCAGTGGCAAGTGCTGGCACTGCCATGCGTGTGCGTGTAGGGTAGTTAGGGCAATGGGTGAGCAAATGGGTATGGAAGCAGGAATACCTGCTGAAGCCTAATGGGCTAATCTACAGGCTGAGCCTACTCAGCCACTCCATGCTTCCCCCAGTCTGAGAAAGAGCAATGATCCCAGATGCTCTCTACTCACACACATCTGTAGGACAGAGATAAGAAGCTCATTTTGTAAAGCTTCTGTCTCTGCTCTCTTATAGCCAAAATATATTACTATATCCCAGGGAAATATCAGCCTCATTTCTGAATCCTAAGATCAGGACACGGCAGAGCCAAGATCCATAGAGTCTTGGGTATAAGGTCAGGCTTTTAAGATGCACATTTCTCCACGGTTACATTTTGTCTGTGTTTTGTCTGCATTTAACCTGATGCAGTGCCTTCATTCCTTCCAGGGGAAGTCTGGACATGGTTTTTGAATTGGTAGCATGGCGGTGTGTCTTCAGCCCCAGGGCCACCTGGGGGTGACACAGTGCCTACAGGGATAGTCGGCAGTCCTGGAAAATGAGCAGAGAAAAGGGACTCTCAGATGAGGTAGGGGAAGGAAGCAAAAGAGAGAGGCAGGAGGAGAAAAGAGGAAATAAAGAGAGAAAAACAAATAAGAGAAAATGTGTGTTTAAGAAACAGACACAGTACTCTACTGTTAGGGAGAAACCAAGACTATGAGCTGGTCACCCCCAAACTGCAGGGCATGGTCTGCCAGCTGCCATGCAGGGGAGACTGGGCTGGGTGCTTCTGCATCTGCTCAGGCCACTTGGGTTCACAGGGCTTCAGATTTCGGCCGTGGCCAGGCACCTTTTCCACCCACACTGCACAGGGGAACAGGCAAACACTTACATGGGAAGTGGGCCAATTCCACCGGGCTCTGCGCGCTCCCTGCCCTGGGCCTTCCTGGGCAAAGTGACAGCTAAACTCTATGCCCTGGAGATGCAGGCAGCAGGGGTACATCTTCCCTCAATTCCCTCTGCTTGCTTCAGAACCCATATCCACGGTCACTGCATTCTCACAAACCCCGGGTTTGGCCCTATGGGTTGATGACAGGATAGACTATAGTGTTTGAGATCGAGTCAGAATGCCAGGCTGCTCCAACTAGATAGTGATGGGGCAGGAGGTGAAGACTAATACTTTTTGACCTACCAACTAAATGCTTTCCATATAACGTTAAATGGAAGGTATTTCTCCCTTATTTTAGAGATGGAGAAACGAAGACACAGAAAGATGAAGTAAATTTTCCAGTATTCCGATAAGCAGTAGCAAGAGCAGGACTTGAACTGAGGTGTTTTTGTCCCCTAAAGCATATGTTCTCTATCACTAAACTATACCTTTTCCTATCTTAATGGTCACAGCTGTGCCCGTTGTTCTATCAGTGAGTAGAACAAAATACTGCACTATCTGTAATCTTTTCTCTCTGTGTCATGGAATAAATAGAGCTCCTTAAAGTTGCAGGGAGGGAAGGTGATATCTGAGCCCTCTGACGCTGAGAGGATGGAAAGGAAAAGGATAAAGGAGGAGTTTACAGGCTGGTCCTCGGGCCTCCTTTTTGCCTTTGCCAAGGGCACGTGGCTGCTAAGCCACTAACTTAGTCTTCAGGCTCCTGCAACCCTTAGAAATTGGTCGGTTGGCTGGTCCACAGGAGGGTCATTCCTACTGGCGCCTCACCTGGCTACTCCCTTCATCTTCTCTATACCAGCAAGGGTAGCGGAGGACAGCGAGCACCAAGCACAGCAAATGTTCTGGGAGAAAAAGTGTAAAAGCAGCCCCCTCCCCCCTCACACTCCACAGAGTGGATGGAGTCAGACAGGAAAGGGACCCTGCTGTATCACTTAACTGAATCTGGACTGTATTCCTGAAGACCTTCTATTGTCAATGAACGAAGACTCATTTGTGTTGAAATGATGGGTTCATTGGAAGGATAAAAAGCATGGAAACCCAAGAAAAGCTGAAGCAACAGGCCCCATGAAGATCTAGGGATGGCAGGATAGCTTGGCAATGCTGGAACTGGAAATGGATTTCCGAAAGCCCTTAGGGAATTTTGGCAGAAAGAGTCTGTGGGTGAGACTAATTAGATACTCAAGACTGCCATTAATGAAACAGAGCCACACTGGACCTGTCAGACTTTCTCCCTCTCTCCCACCTGTCTTCTTTGCCTACTTCTTTGTGCATGGCTGTTCTCTATTTCATGGCTTCTTCTCACTCACGGTCTCTGTTCATCATAGCTGGGGCTTGCACGTGGACCCTAAGAGCCTCTCTAGCCACTCACCACATCATCAGTCTTCAATTTTCACTTCTTCTGTTACCTAATTTCCTCCATCAAGTGCTCGAGGGACAGAATCCGATTTACCCAGCTCATCTTTTCATATCAGGCCACATTAAGACAAACCTATGAAACAGCTGTCCTCGAGTCAAATGCCCACCTCTGCCGCATCAGCTGTGGGCTGGGTGCTGGAGACAGAGCTGCGGGGACCTGCACAGGGCTGCCCCACCACCAGGGACTGTGGAAGTGGCAGGCACTCTAGGCTGTCTTGTCTGGTCATGGCCTTACAAAACTTTATTCTGATCCCAAGATGGGATCAGATTTTAACAGCTTTTGTTGGAGAATCATCTGAAAAATCTAAATAAAATCAATACATGAGCTCCCCATCATTATCATGTTCATGTAACTCTACAAAACAACCAAGTCTGTCTTGGTAGCCTCTTATTTTCTGAGGGGAAGCCATAGTGTGTGTGTGTGTGTGTGTGTGTGTGTGTGTGTGTGTGTGTGTGTGTGTGTAACTAAAATATTTCATGTATGGGAAATTGTATTAAAAATAGTAATACTATTTGATTAAAAGAGTCTTAGTATGTTCTTTGATACACTGTCACTTAAAGGGCACATGTGTTTTTCCATGCTCTCTACAGACATAGTTTAAGGATCTGGTTATTGCAATTACAGTAAATTACTGACAACTCAGCTCCCTACAGATATATACTTATGATGTAAGAGGTTATTTCCCATTATAACTTCTGAATCACCCCTGCCCTTCTGCACACACCACCAATCTCCCCTTTGGTTCCCCAGTGGAATCTCTAGATGGAGGGGAACACACAAAGCTCTGTCTAATCCACCTCCCAGCTGACCTAGTACCCCTGGGCTGCTGATGTAATTTGATACAGTTCCTGTATTTAATGGGAAATTTCTTTTCTAATCTCAACATGTTAAGTAGGTTTCAGAAGAATGAGTTCTCCCCACCCCACTAGCCTCCTGCCCCATAAATAATCTTATAATAAATTCCTTTTCAAATTTAGTACAAAGAAAAAAATTGTTTCTCTCCACGAGCTGGTCTGTTTCCTCATGCCAAACAGTAAAAGCTATTTAAATCCAAGGGGTTTCTTTTTTGTTTCAGAATTACATAAAGGGAAACTTCGAATTTTTGTGATAAAATGCATCTGAGGAAAAAAAAAAGAAGAATGGAAAATTGAAAAGGAGTACTGCAGGGGATATATTGACCCATTCGGCAGTATTTATTAAGCATATATTATGTATGATGAGCACCGTAAGAGGAAACATTGTAAATGATATTAACAACAACACCCAACATTTATCAAGTGCTACATGCCAGATGCTAAGAGTTTTACATGAATTAAATCAGTAAGTGGATGAACTAACTATTCTTCATTTGAACTCACAACTATGTACTATTATTATCATCTTTTGAAAGGTGAGGAAACTGAAGCATATCAAGACTCAATAGCTTGCCCAAGGTCACACATAGTATGTGGTAGAACCAGGGTGTCAACTCAGGAAGTCCAGCCCCATAGCAACATGGCGTCAGCCTAGCTCACAGCAATCTCAAACTCCTGGGCTCCAGCGATCCTCCTACCTCAGCCTCCTCAGTAGATGGAACTACAGTGACACGCCACCACACCCGGCTAATTTTTCTATTTTTAGTAGAGACGGGGTCTCTCACTCTTGCTCAGACTGTTCTTGAACTCTTGACCTCAAGTGATCTTCCTGCCTCGGCCTTCCAAAGTGCTAGGATTACAGGCATGAGCCACTGCGCCCAGCCAGGTGTTTTTAATCACTGTTTTATATGCTTCAAAATATGCCTTCATGTCAAGAAAATCATCATCTATTTATGGAAACAAGACACAGATACATAGAAAGTTAAACAGAAAATTGGGAGAAAAACTGCAGTATGATGCAGTTTATATCAACTGCTGAACACATGATAGAACAGAAAAGAGCAACAGCATTTCAGAGGCAGGAAGGGCACATGGGGAGTGCAGCCAGGGAAAACTCTTGGAGGAAACAGGATCTGAAGTGGAACTTGAAGATTGTGACAGACTTAGCAACACAGCAAGGCCAGTAAAGCCTCAGCAAGATCTCCACACTGAGGCTTAGCGCAGAAACAAGCAGCCTGTGAAAACGGGACTCTGAGTGGGGAAAAGTAGAGGTTAATTCGAAAGGACAACAGGAATAAAATTTGGAAACAATGTAGGATCCTATTTACTCTTTGCATACTCTAAGAGGCAGGCATTACTACCGTCTCCGTTTTAGATGTGGGAAAACTGAGACTCAGACAAATGGCAGGTACAAAGTCATCCAACAAGTACGTGGAAGAGCCAAGACTTAAGCCCGGCATCTCTGATTTCAAAGCTCCTAACCACAAGCCAGTAGCAGCCCAGGCCTCTGAACGAGGAAGGGAATGCTGAGAGCCGCAGAGCGGTCGCCGAGAGAGACAAGGAAGGCCAGTGACCCTGGAGACACAGAAGACGCTGTGGGGAGAATCGGTCGTCTAATGTCACGTCAAAAGTCAAGGGAAGAGAAGGCTTTGGCTGGAGGACGATCACAGTGTGTGCCACCTCTGGCAGAGGACAGGGAAGGAAGGAGACTGGGCCAAGGCCTTAGAGACTGGTAGTGACAGAGCTCTCGGGAAGGAGGACGGCCAGC